CTGTACACTGTTGACCCTTTAACCAACCCTTAAACCTACCCATACCACCAAACCTGTCCCTAACCTTACCTGTATCACACCTCAACAGCAGCAAAAGTGTTGTGCATTAACACACGCTTTCAATCATTTTATAGCATCTGTTAAAATCATTTATAGATTTTCAATAAGTGCTTGATCATATAGAATTGAAAGTTTAATGACATTTGAAAGCATGTTAACTTACATGAAATAATGATCTGTTTGAACATTATCTAATGTTTAATAAGTTTATTAGCAATCATTAACAAGCATATTATCTCACGTTTCTAACTCTTTGAAAATATATTAACTAATGATCCATTAAGCATTATATAATGTTTGTTAATGATTTATCAATGAAAGTTATTATAAAGTGTTACCGATTAATGTACAGTCAACGGAACTGTCGAGCGCTGTGTGAGAAGTTTTCTGTACACACACATCCGAACAGTTGCGTGCACACACAGAAAGCCGCGTCTCGGACAGCGCACAAATATTAATGGAGTTCTCTTTCTATTTTTTGGTTAGACCTATGTCTTAATGTAAACAGACATAGGTCAATTAAACGCATGTTTCTCAGTATACTGGATCTGTGCTTTCGGTCTTAAAGTGAAAGCAGACTAATAATAAAGCTGCCTCAAAGAAAAATACCTCACTGGTCTTGACTGAATAACTTTTGTAACTTTAATAATGATTAATCTATATTAAATGTATACAGTGAAGACTATTTTACATTTGATTATTCAATTTCTGTACCTGGAAAATTATTTTAGACCTACCTGAAAAACCTGAAAAGAACTGTTTATTTAATTTGTGTCTTTGTTCTATTGTATTTATTTTCTACGATTTCTTGTCATTTGCTTATCTGTAGAAAATAATTCTTAGCACTGAGCCCTGCATGTCTGCATGTGCCTCAGTCTGTGATGTATAGCAGGCAAAAAAAAAACAAAAAAAAAAACAAGTCTCAAATATAAAGCAAGTTTTTTTTTTTTTTGCATTAGTGTATTTTTTTCTACAGCTGGAGTTCCTAATTGTTGTTGTTTCCTAATGAGGATTTACACTATATTTTATACATTGCACATTTTAGCATGGAAGCCTGAAAGACTTTCTTGACTTTTGTCATGCCATAAGATCACTGGTCTTATTTGTGACTTGATTTTTTACCCCCGATGATTTATTTTTCTTCATTATTTAAAAGGAAAATAAGTGTAGGCCTATTTTTTATTTTATTTTGTTTTATTTATTTTTATACAGGATGTAGAAATTTCATATAAATCTTCAAGTAATATATTTTGGTTGCATTTGTGAGTTAATATAAATGTAGCTGGTTGTGTAAAATAGGTACATAATATAATAATATCGATATATCGCTCAATATACTCCTGAATCGTATCGTAATCATATCATAGATTTTTTTTTTTGAGGTATCAGCAAATATCGTATCGCTGGGTATGAGAATTGATATCATATCGTGACTAACTGTCCGATTTACACCCCTAATGTCCAACAAACAGCATAATAAAATGTTGCAAGATTCATGTTCATCTGTTTGAATCAAACTGAATTGCTTTTAGTGCCACTTGCATAATAAAATGCATAAACATCGCCAGAAGCACATTACACTGAAATGTATTTCTTCTTAACTACAGCATATTATATTTTCAGCAGTAATTCTACAATAATTGTTCTTCAGTTCCTGACTGTAATTAAGCAATTGTAATATTGCATATCTGTTAGAAAGACCCTAGTAATGTAACGGATTTGCAACACTGTGTTCTTCTGTTGGCAGATGTTCGAACCCAAGCAGGATGAGCCACGTGACCTCAGGGGCCGGAGAATGACCTCTGAGGATGACCGTTCCCTTGGCAACCTGTCTGATGCATTGGCCACTGCTGCGAGTAGCCCTCAGTCCAGGAGTCTCACCCTGCTGGAGGATCTGTGCGCCCCTCTGGAGGAGAACAGCCGCCTGGTTCCATCAACACCTCCGCCCTCTACTGAGGGAGAAGATGGGAAAAGCACAGAGAGCAGCATGAACGAGCTGTGGAGGGAGGATGAAGGCAAAGAGAAAGAGGAGGAAAGGGGGAATAGTGAGCCAATGACCGAAGCGAAAGAAGAGCAGGAGTTCTCGCAAGCACACGCAAGAGACAGTGAAGATGAAAAACAGCTGCTTGTCGATGAAGACAACGCTTCAGAGGCGGTGGACACAAACGCTCCACCTTCATCCTCTTCCTCATCATTTGTCATCCCTGAGTTGCGATTAGATCGGTCTTTCAGTGCAGATGCCCTGTCCACCCCCGGAACCGATGAAGAGTATGAAGAAGATGAAGATGATGAGGATGAGGAGGACAGTGATGATAACTACCTGGAACGCAGTGACAGCAAACGGAGGAGCATGGTAGAGGCCACTTCCTGCGAAAAGCACTCAGGTGGACTCAGCGTGCAGAATTCCCTGCGCAGACGCACACACAGCGAGGGCAGTCTTCTCCAGGACCCTCGCACAGCCTGCTTCACATCTGACAATGCCATCAACTGCATGGAGGTGACCGGGACACATGAGGGAGGCTGGACGCTTCCCTCACCCAAAACCTTGAAGAAAGAGCTGACTAAGAATGGAGGGTCCATGCACCAGCTGTATATGCTGTTCTCTGGAAGAAAAGTAAGTCCTTGTTCTTGCTCTGGCAGTCTCATTAAATGAGGTTTAGGAATCATTTCCTTTTGTCATGTTACTTGCTTTAGCTGATACATTAAAAATTGTTTAAAATCAATATTAGGGACCTTTCTTGGGAAATTTAGGGAAAATAGTAACTTGTCCTTCACAATTTGCACTGTGGACACTTGCTATTACTTATCTAAATGGTCAGACTTGGATTGGGACTTTGGGATTGGGCTTTTTTGACTGTTTTTTTGGGCCAATAAAGCAAAGTAAAGTAAAGCAAAGGAGTAAAAGCAAAGCAAATGCCTGTTATGACGGTGAGCTATGCACAGGTCTTCACAAAAGCACATGCACAGCACAAGACAGAGACAGAAATGTCTCATTAGCACTCACACGAAACTCAGGAACGTTTATCATTTATATCCTTAGAAAAAATTGCAGAACAAGGACCAAATAATTCTGAACAGAACAGAACAAAGATTCTGTTTCTGCACATAAGTAGAGAAAAAAAGTTGAATAGACTAAAAAGACTAGCAACAGGTAATTAATTAATGGATAGACAACTATGCAGTGCTACCACCATACAACATTTCAGTCATAGTTTTAAGTAGGGTGACCATACGTGCCATTTTCCCAGGACGTGTCCTGGCCAGGATTTCTATATTGCCTAAAATATCTAGGTTTTGGCTTTGTTTGCGTGTGCAGACCGATCGGTATATGACATCAAAATACTATACAGACGGTTCCGCCTAGATATTTTAGGCAATATAGAAATCCTGGCCAGAACGCGTCCTGGGAAAATGGCCCGTATGGTCACCCTATTTTAAGTGATTTATCTATTAAAGTAGTTTGTAGTAATGTGTAAACTGTAATTTGAAATTCTACTGATATTTAAATGCTCATCATTCAATATGTAATTTGCTCCTAGATTTTTGTTCATATGGCTCAGAATGCAGATAGGGCTGCACTCTCAGTTTTGCCCACTAAGTGGCGTTCTGTCAATTTATTTTGCTCTCTAACCAGAGTGACACAGTATTTGAAGATGTTAGCTAGACACACTGTTTTAAGTACACACATTTATATACATGTCTGTGAATGCATGCTGGAAGGACTGTTTATTTTTGTGTAAGTAAGTGTGAATTAAAATATTCCCATTTAAATATAATCAGAAGCAATATGGAGAATAAAATGTCAAAATTTGGTTTAAATAATGTTACATTGTCATTCAGTGTAACACAATATTTATGTAAAAATTCAAGCAACATGCTTATTCTGACGTGTGCATATTAAAATATATGAAATAATAAGGGAGCATATTACATTTGATTGTGTTTTAAATGAGTAAAAAAACGTATTACTGACAAATGGGCAAAACCTAGGATAGTGGCAAATTTAAAAAAAATGTAAAATTAGAACTAACTAGTATTTGGGGTGAAAGTAATTAGTCTTTTAATATGTTATATTTTGTTGTAATTATGCCTGACAAGTTTATATATATATATATATATATATATATATACCACCTCATATCATCACTGTAACATGATATTGCCACATTTAAGTATTGTAGAGAAGGTTTGTAGTCAATAGTGACATTAATGCTACACAGTAGTACAAATGTAAAAATGATGCCCTTAACAAATGTTTTGGTGCTGTTTTTTATTAAAGAAAAAATAAATGGAGGGCATGACTCCTGGAAGATAAGAGTGCATGATGGGATGTCTGTGTTCCAGTAGCTACTAATGAAAGGTGTGAGACTGATTCAATGTGAGTGAATGAGGTGAATGATTCAGAGTGAGTGAATGAATCAATGACTCACTCACAACACAGTCACTTGTCTGCTGGCTTAACAATGTAAATTGTACAAATTATCACTGAAAAATTCCCACCACTAATGCACAGACAGCTTGTCTAGGACATGAAATCATAGAATAGTGTAGGAAATATCAGAGGAGAACTGTGCACAAACACTTTTGCCTCACTTTAGTGCCACTGGATGCTTTTGATTTAATCTGCTCACTTACATTACATACAAATCAGCAAGGTTGCAATTTAAACCATGCATTATGTTGGAGTTCCATGCAGTTATTAATAATAGATGCCTTCTTTTTTGACCATTAGGCAATACGTTCTCTGCAAACGGGGTGTCATGATGGTCACAACCACAGAGATGCAAAACAATCTGTAAAGTTGCTGAACACGGGCTTACTCAGATCATTTCTGTGACTGGCAACAAATGATCTGTAGTAGCGAACACAAGTCCTTTTTTTTGTTTTTTCCTGTTTCACATGGTGTGTCCCAAGAATCAGTTCTTGATCCGCTTCTTTTTGTAAGTTCCATTGGCATGGTCTTTAACAGCCTGGTTAAAACACATTTGCACTTTCACTAATGCCTGTGAATGTCTTCCTTTAATTCCTTTCACATATATTGACTCCACAACATACTTTAATACTCGAAACAAGCAAATAACTAAAGTTTTAGTTATATAAATAGTAAATGGTATTATTAGATGTTTTTAATAGTATAAAAAGTACAGTACATAGTAATAAATAGTATGTGCATTTTGCAGATATTATGAAACAATGAAAAAAAAAACTACTTTACAAAATAATAATATGAAAAAGAGTCCAGCACCACTTGTGATGAAGAGAACTTTAATAATTTTAAACAATTCCAGCTCTTTTTGGCCTAAGAGCCTTTCTCAGGGTATTCAACACACATAATACATAAGCATTTAAAAACTCATCTCCATATTGGATTATAAATTCACAAATCAGCAACAGCTGACAAGCTTCACTCAAGACATCACACTAATTAGTAAGAGTTAACTACCCCAAAACAACAATCACCCAATCAGAGTAGATCCACATCAGATTAACATATCTTAAATATAAAAAGAGTCATACAACATACTTAAAACACCATCACAAAAAAAAAAAAAAATCTTTAAGAGAAAAATCCTGATTCATACCTTTGGGAACAGACTTTTCAAATAAGAGATCCAAAAAGCTACCCGCTTCTTTCTTATGCAATCAATATTACCACCTCTAATATTCTGCTTAATCTTTTCAATTCCAAGAAAGAAAAGAGATGCCATTTTTATAGTTCTTATATGTTATGGTTTTTATATGTTCACCAAAATGTCATGCAACAGGACTCTTTAGATCCTTTTTATTTATTTATATATCCCCTGTATCTTGTGTTGGATCACTATGTTGATGTTGTTGCTTATACTCTGCGTCTGATTCTTAATTTATTTTTGTTTTGTTTATTAAGTACTCCATCGTTTAGATCCCCCATTTCTGCCTGCCTTCTCTTGCTCTCCTGTGATTACACTTCATTACAATTCACATCAAAATTAGCTTTTTTGTTACTACTAACTGTTGTTCGGCTAATTCTATCATTAGTACTTCAGTCACTCAATTCTTTTTAGAAATTGGTGCCACCACCATGACATTGCAGGCACTGCCTCCTCTGAAAAAACTTGTCTTATACACATCTGGAAATAGCTCAGACGGCTTATTATGAAGGACAAACTCTTAAATAATGCAGCGTAATGTGGCTTGTAACTCACTTCTACACATTGCCACCTTTGTAGTTCACTTAAGGAAATATGAAACAAAAGCCATAAATCCAGCACTCCAGTGATGATGCACTTCTTTCCCAGCCACAGGCAGTTTCTTTAGGCCTGTGTCTGGTGCATAATGAGACTATACATATCCTGAATGGGCACATGATCCTGTGTCCATCTGCTCATGCATTTGGAGAAAATTAATGCATTCCTAGGAGAACGGCAGTAGGGAGAAAGGCATTCTGGACACCAACCACAATTTATATGTAAAGCCTAACTTACTGGCCACTGCTGTGTAACATCAGAGTAATTCCATGGTAAATCCATAGGAATTGTTTACTTAATATAAAGTGGAACACTATCTTTACCAAAAAGTGCTGTTAGTCCTTTTACACATTTGTACTTTCATTACCAAAAAGTGTTGTTACCAATGTCATGTTACACATTTGTATTTACACATACCATTCAGTGGGTTGTTACATATGTGTAGTTACACAAACATTACAGCTGTAGATACTATGTACCAATGTGTACTTACACTGTGGTTACATACTATGTAAGTATACAGGTATTAGGGCCACTTAATATAAAGTGGGACCGAAAGGACAAACATTTTCATTGTGTCTGAAATCTGCAAGGCAACAAGGCAATGCCTTGTTTTTCTCCCTATACTCAGGAAGAAAAAAGAATGTCATAATGTTTTTAAAAGTAAATAATGAACTAAAGGTCATTTTACATGGTTTAATTACGTTTCCAGTTAATTTTCAGTGAAGAGGAGGAATGTGGCATCATTTGGAAGAAATTAATACTTTTATTTAGCAAAGATGCATTAAACTGATCGAAAGTGACCGAAAATACTTTTATGATGTTCCAAGGATTTCCATTTGAAATAAATGCTGTTGTTTTGAACTTTCTATTCATTAAAGATTCCTGGAAGGAAAAAAAAAAAAAAAACGGTACATTAAGCAACACAACTGTTTATAACAATAATGACAATGGTGATTGTTTTTGGATCAGCAATTCAGCCAATCATTATATTAGAATGATTTCTGAAGGATCGTGTGACATTGAAGACTGGAGTAATGATGCTGAAAATTCAGCTTTGATCACAGGAATATAAATGAAAAACTGTTATTTTAAATTATAATAATAATTTACATCATTACTGTTTTTACTTTAACAACAATAAAAAATCTTAGCAACCCATAATTTTGAACAGTGGATACTGTTTATACAGTAATCACATATGATGCAGGATGCAGTTTCTGTCTGTTTTCTCTTTTCCACAAAGTGGATTTCTTAAAGATTATTTACTTGGCCAGTAGAATGATGTGACTTTGCCCGTTCTTACCTAGTAGCTATAATTCTTTTATCGTGCTTGGTGGAGGCAGCCCTGAGAGCCAGAGTTTACACCAGGGACCAGCTGATGAGT